GGTGCCCCCAGGTGTGTATCCCAGGTGTGCCCAGGTGTGCCCAGGTGCCCCAGGTGTGCCCAGGTGTGTCACTCACTGCCCGGGTGCCCCCAGGTGTGTATCCCTGGTGTGCCCAGGTGTGCCCAGGTGCCCCAGGTGTGCCCAGATGTGCCCAGGTGTGCTCAGGTGTGCCCAGGTGTGTATCCCAGGTGCCCCAGGTGTGCCCAGGTGTGTATCCCAGGTGTGCCCAGGTGTGTCACTCACTGCCCGGGTGCCCCCAGGTGTGTATCCCAGCTGTGCCCAGGTGTGCCCAGCTGTGCCCAGGTGTGCCCAGGTGTGCTCAGGTGCCCTCCCAGGTGTGCCCAGCTGTCTCCAGGTGTGCCCAGGTGTGCCCAGGTGCGCCCAGGTGTGCCCAGGTGCCCCCAGGTGTGCCCAGGTGCCCCCAGGTGTGCCCAGGTGTGTCACTCACTGCCCGGGTGCCCCCAGGTGTGTATCCCAGCTGTGCCCAGGTGCCCCCAGGTGCGCCCAGGTGTGTCACTCACTGCCCGGGCGTCTCCTCACGCCGAGTTTCCGGATCTCGTCGTAGACGAGGATGAGGAGGCCGAAGGGCATCGGCACCAACCACCACTGGAACCTGGGGGGGCACACCTGGGCAGGTGAGGCGGGGGTACCCCGGCGTGCCCCAGGGGTGCCCAGGGGTGCCCAGGTGGTTTTGGGGTGGTGCCCAGGTGTTTTGGGGGTGCCCAGGTGTGCCCAGGTGTGCGCCCAGGTGGTTTTCGGGGTGCCCAGGTGTGCCCAGGTGCATTGGGGTGGTGCCCAGGAGGTTTTGGGGTGGTGCCCAGGAGGTTTTGGGGGTGCCCAGGTGTTTTTGGGGGTGCCCAGGTGTGTCCAGGTGGTTTTGAGTGGTTCCCAGGTGATTTTGGGGGTCCTCAGGTGTGCCCAGGTGTGCCCAGGTGGTTTTGGGGTGGTTCCCAGGAGGTTTTGGGGGTGCCCAGGTGTGCCCAGGTGTTTTGGGGGTGCCCAGGTGTGCCCAGGTGCATTGGGGTGGTTCACAGGTGATTTTGGGGTGGTTCCCAGGAGGTTTTGGGGGTGCCCAGGTGTGCCCAGGTGTTTTTGGGGGTGCCCAGGTGTGCCCAGGTGCATTGGGGTGGTTCACAGGTGATTTTGGGGTGGTTCCCAGGAGGTTTTGGGGGAGCCCAGGTGTGCCCAGGTGTGCCCAGGTGTGCCCAGGTGTGCGGGCTCACCTGATGGGCATGAAGTTGAAGACGTTGGGCATCCCCGGGCAGTAGCAGAGGAAGCAGCCGATGCACACCTGGAACACGATGGCCACCAGCAGCGTGCGGTTCCTGAAACACACCTGAGTTACCTGAGTGTCACCTGTGTGACGTCATCACCTGTGTGACGTCATCACCTGTGTGACGCCATCACCTGTGTGACATCATCACCTGTGTGACATCATCACCTGTGTCACCTGTGTACCATCATCACCTGTGTGACATCACCTGTGTGACCTGAGCGTCACCTGAGTGTCACCTGTGT